TGTGATCAATTCCAACAGTTGCCTGATTATGATTTCACATCAGTAAGAAGCATGAAGAGTGCTTTCAGTCTGACTCTACCAAACACCGCAGAATTACTACAGAGTTGGTTAGTCTTCGTGTAGACGCTCAAAATTCTAATCCACATCAGAGTTGTAAATTAAACATGATAAAGTAAAATTTGACCTTTTGTTGGTGTTGGCTTATACTAGTGTAAAAACCTGCACATACAAATGAGCCTCGATGTCCGTCTGTTCCTTTCTCCCCACGTTCGGCTTGCTTTCCCTAAACCAAATACATACATTCATCACCTTTGATGGTTAAAGCTCAAACTATGCTTAAACTACGCCGACAAAACAACAATACACTACAGTACAAAAGCGTCTATTCTAGCACGATCTTTCACAATACAGGACAAGTGCTGATGTGGTTAAAACTCTATTCTTCTACCTTCGGGCCTTGACCTCCGCGACCCCCACGTGATCCAGGTACACCCGGCAAACCCTTCTCTCCATCATCACCGAACCCTCCTGGTCCTCCTGTATCACCCATAAGACCCTACGAGAAAACCAAGATGTTAACCACGACTGTTAGTAAGCTAAATGGATAAGTGAGGATTGCTTAATATCCTTACTTGCAGCCGAGAGCTAAGCTGAATTACAAAGGATGCAGCTCAACCTGATCGCCTCAAGTTTATCCACAATGCATGACTCACCTCTTTACCGAGGTCCCCCATTGACCCTGACTTTCCCGATAATCCCGTGTTTCCCTATACAAAGTTTCAAAGATCAACATTAGGTCAATTTGTTAAAACTTGTGCATTTTTGAAAACTTCACATACCTTGCTTCCAGCTTCCCCTCTCTCTCCTTTTAACCCTCCAACACCCTTCTTGCCCTAACAAATCAAATAAATCTGACATTACAGCAAACGTTTTTTCTCAACTAGATTCAGAATACTGCACATGCTTTGACTACCTTCACGGCTTTAAGACCTCTGATGCCTTCTTCACCGCCATGACCCTAAGAAAGAAACGATGTTGGTAGATATTCACGTTCGTCGTTTGATTGAACCTTAAGTATGTACCACGCCTTTATCACGTCTTCATCACGTCTTCATCACGTCTTCATCACGCCTTTGTCACGTGTTCACCACGCCTTCATCACGTCCTTACCATGCAAGTGATCAATCACATAGAGCTTTCTGTTCTCACCTTTCTACCTCTCACGCCGATGTTTCCTTCTTCACCAGTAAGACCACGACTGCCCTAGAACGGTACCAATCCGATCACTTTCATTATAGAATTATACAATACATTCTCAGGGATAACCAACAAACACAAAATTAAACACATACTTCATATGCTAACGTGTATTCGTGCTCGTTCAACCCAGTTTACTTCATTTATTCTTTCGTTATCAGAACAGCGGTAACAAGGCATTTGTAGTATCCGAAAAAATAGACTGTGTTTCCATGCTTATGCATGGGTTTGACCACATAACCATAGATATGGCTGGGCTCAAAATAATGGGAGATAGGTCTCCAAATAACCGGTCAACTTGATTTAGCACACTAACAGTGAAACAAACTATTAGAAACTTGTTTCGATACATCGTAGTTTCATATTTTAATTCAAGACGTCAGCAATCACATTGGAAAGCATGAAAATGTGGCCGGTCAAAATGGCCGGTGAGGTAAAAAAGTGACCAGTCAAGAGGCATTTTTGGCCGGCCGTTATTTTGGTAAGCTATTATTTTGGCCCAGCGTTATTTTGTATGGTAAGCTCAATCAATATTTCATCGATTAGAAAGGTTACTTACAAGGGGTCCAGGTATTCCAGTATCACCGGGAGGACCCAGGCCACCCTGTAAATTAAAATATAACAATGTAACATTATGGTGACGGTTGAAACGACCGAACTTTTCAAGTTTTAAATACCTGTTTACCAGGCGCACCAAACAAGCCATGATGTCCTCTTTCTCCGTGAAATCCCTGAGAAGAAGTTTGAATAATTAACACGCAGAAAATTGAATAATTAACACGCAGAAAATTGAATAATTAACATGCAGAATTTCTTTTGTATCGATTAGAGGTTTATATGCTGATGCTTGTCCATTACAATTTATAATCTACAGTTTAATTCAAATACCCTGTTGCCTTTCCTGCCTTTCCGACCAACTGGCCCGTCAGGACCCTAAAACATAAATTTCAAAACATCAAATCTGCATCATTCTCTACTGTATTTTTATATCCTACAACAATAGGTAGATATCCGTGCACAATTAAATACAATAAAACAGGAATGGATTTACTGGTGAGGGCGTGCAAGGGAAACCCCTAGCGTTGCCAATGAGGGGTTGCAAGAGAGATTGCTAATTTTTTGATCGGATTTGGAAAGACCATGCATTCAAAAATATGATAGAGACAATACATAATGAGAGATGATTACACATTTGGTCAAGAGTCACACCCTTCACATCCTGAACCATGACCAAAGTTTGATAACCACCCACTCCCCTCACTCCCATCCCTGAAAAAAAAAACAGTGTACTGGCATACTCACGGGATTACCGTCTGGTCCAGGTGCACCACGAAATCCAGTCTCTCCAGGCTCACCCTGGTTGAGAAAACAGTCAGTCACATCATCATAAGATGCAAACACAATGAATCCACAAAAATATTTCTATAAATTACCCTTAAACCAGGAATGCCTTCGATTCCCCTATCTCCAATTGGACCCTGCAAAAACATATTTCTGCATTAATTGTTGTCGGTTTTCTTGCTTTATAACGGTATTTATCCAAACATTAAAAATCTCATTAATAATTCATGATGGTTTTATATGTGATAAAAAAATCATGTTAATTTACATACTCTAGCTTTGATTTTCTCGGCTTAGACAACGTTATTTTAAAAATTACTCAGCCAATGAAATCATCAGATGGGTCGTTTTTAAGCCATTTAAAACACTCGCAGTCCGTGAATACAACATACCCGTGAATACAACATACCCGTGAATACAACATACCATAAAACCTTTTTGTCCTTCAATGCCTTTCTTTCCAGGCGGGCCCTATGAAATGACGTCATACATTACTCATAACTCCATATTCTTATATGTTCACAAAAATATTTCCAATATACTTACAACTCCGCCTGGTGTCCCCATGTCCCCTCTATCCCCCTGCGGACCGAGCTGCCCCTGGAAATTGTGAGACAGAACGGATGAAATGCGAATAATCAAATTTTCTTAATGCCATGTTAGCAACGCAACGAAGAAAACACGTTATCAAGACATTTCTTCAAGTTTTAGGAATATTCGAAGTTTTGTGAAAACACTTGCCACACAGGCTTATTGTCTTGTGTTTATATATTATTAAAAATTAAAATACTCATCAATAATTCATAAACCTTGTAGCAAATCATGTCAGCCATAATATGTCACATGGAGTGACTTTATATCTGATAAAGCATGTGGCATTGTATAATCATCCTGATTAGTATTATTTTGTAGTTGTATTTTAAATTAAATTAAGTTATTCAAAACACTCGTGTTTGATAAAACACTCCTACTCGTATTTCAAATAGTACATATTCTTTTGACTATTAATAATCCTACACACTAAATAACCCGTTGTCACAATGTCATATGTCACAATATACCTTCGGTCATTTACACACAACTAATTACTCATCCAGTCAGATAACATAGTATATATATAGATCAGTAATTCTACCTTTCTTCCAGGCTTTCCCACAATTCCTTTCGACCCTTGTTCACCCTCCCATCCCTACACCAGAATAAAGACGTAAGTTTTTATAAATAATTTATTATCCTTGTTAATTCTATCAATAACTAAATGATTTCGACTCAATAGACAATTCCCATTATAGACTAATTTTAAAACTAGGCAAGGAGATGCAAATAAATCACCACAGCTAGAAAGAGCATACTAAAATTAGTAAAATTACAAAATTTGGTTGCGAAATGTTGTAAAATGTGGAAAATATAGCCTTGCAAAGTTCGCAAATTTTGTATACTTTTGTATTGCGTGCGACCATTTTCGGCCTAAATGTGGTAGGAATGTGGTAGGAATTTCCGCAGGCAATACAAAAGTATACAAAATTTGCGAACTTTGCAAGGCTATATTTTCCTCATTTTACAACAACTCGCAACCAAACTTTGTAATTTTACTAATTTTAGTATGCTCTTTCTAGCTGTGGTGATTTATTTGAGTCTCCTTGCCTAATTTTAAAATTAGTCTATAATGGGAATTGTCTATTGTTAGTAACCTTCATAAATATTTCTCAAACTCTTTGATAATTCATGCGCAAAACACAGAGGAAGCCGGCACTGTATCGTTGTCTAATTGATACCACGGTAATACACGCCCATAAATTAATTTACTCAACTATCGCCTTGGATTTCTCTTGAAAACTTGCGAGCTGTTAATACCGGCGAATAAAACACCTTAAAGTACGTGAAAGGAACTGGACCAGTGCCTCGTTTTTCAACACACTTTTCTGTATTTTATACGCCGGTAATACGAATTCTCCTTTATTACATATTACGTAGTTGTTCCTAATAATCACCTTGTGTCCTGCTTTCCCCCTCTTACCATTGTAGTATGCCGCATCACCGATGTAGCCCTACAAAAGATTGAGAAAGGTCGTTGTCATTAAGGGCCATTTCCACTCAAGAAAATGTTCCATGGACACTAAAACTTTCCGAAAATATCATTATTAAAAGTTGAAAACTTTCAACTTCAAAATTTTTTTCCGACGGAAAATTTGTGTCGTCAATTACATTTTACAAAATTTGCTTTCTGCGGAAAATTTTCCTGAGTGGAAATGCAGGCCTTTACAGATTACGCTGTTATTTCGTTTGGATAGTTTTTACGTTTACACTACTTACCGGAGGACCTATAATTCCATTCGGTCCTGGGTTGCCAGGCGGTCCAGGATCACCCTAGAAGGAATGG